CGGGGAGGCCGCCCTCGGGCCGCTGGCTCTCATCTGGGTCAGGGCCTGGATCAGAGGCCCCTGCGCTGTTAGGTTCACGGGTCTCAGTGACTCAGCCATTTCTCATGGCGTCTCTGGGCTCAGAAACGGAGCGAAGAAAACGGAACCCACTCAGTGTGCCACCCAGCAGCCCGGTCCTCGGCGTTCACCCCCAGGAGCTGAGAACTGACGTCCCCACTGAACCCGCTCGCAGGTGCTTACGGCGCTTCGTGCACAACTGCCGCCCTGAGGCGACCGCGCCGCCTCCGCAGGCTAATGGGCACCTGGACGGTGTCCACCGACCGCGGCTTTGATTCAGAGCTCACAGGCAGTGAGCCCCCGAGCCAGGAAAAGGCGTGGAGGGCCCTGGCTCGTGTGGCTCAGTGGACAGAGCGTCGGCCTGCGGACTGGAGGGTTCCGTGTCCGATTCCCGCACAACTGCCGCCCTGAGGCGACCGCGCCGCCTCCGCAGGCTAATGGGCACCTGGACGGTGTCCACCGACCGCGGCTTTGATTCAGAGCTCACAGGCAGTGAGCCCCCGAGCCAGGAAAAGGCGTGGAGGGCCCTGGCTCGTGTGGCTCAGTGGACAGAGCGTCGGCCTGCGGACTGAAGGGTCCCGTGTCCGATTCCCAGTCAGGGCACATGTCCAGGGCTGTGGGCTCAATCCCCAGTAGGGGGCATGCAGGAGGCGGTCCGTCCATGACTCTCTCATCATTCATGTCACTGTTTCTCTCTCCCTTTCTCTCTGAAATCAACAAAAAACAAAACATTTTTAAAAAGTATTGCTAACGATGTGGGCTGTTTGCTTTCTTGGCTTATTTTGGTAATTAGTAGTGCTGCCAATTTTAAGCAAAGATTCCGTTTACACCACCCTGTGATGACTCAGAACTCCACGTCCTTAAAGAACGTGCACGAGTCCCCCTCGAAGAACAAGGATACAATGGGCTTGTTTCCCCCCCAATCCCACTCCCCACCCCCCCGGTTACGCAGTCAAGGCACTTTCTCTGATTTCCCACCTTCCTTCTCCTTTTCCTGCCACGTTTCTCCGGACTGAATCCTTTTACGTTGTTTCAGGGCATATGATGGCCACAGTACCGTCTGCCCTGGCCCTTGTGTTTGTTTATGTCTTAGTTCTATATTTAAACACCCCGAACTTTTAAAAAGTTGTTCGTTTCCTTACTTGTTAGCCTGAGACTCAGCCTGTGTTAATGTCCTCTGCAAGTCTCAGGAGAACAAGGTGGTTTGTTGTTGTTTTCATACCTGAGAGACAAATTCTGGCGGCACCAGGAGAGGGGGCAGCTGTGGCTCACCTGTTCCCTGCCCCGTTGGGTCCACCTGAGCCCCAGGAACCCGGGAGGCCTCCAGCCTCCTGCCTGGCTTGAGTAGCTTTTGCTCAAGTCAGTGGCCAGCTTGCAGCTTTTCCACATCATTTGTAGTCTGTGGGTTAGCTCTGTCTCCTACCTTCACTGCAAAAAAAGAAAAAAAAAAAGGAGTTTGCAAAATGGCTTTTGTTCTCCTTATTGCTTTTTTCTGATTTCCAGGAGAAAAATGCTGACACGAAAGCCTTGTGCGCACCGACCCTCAGAGACTCCTAAGCTGGAAACATATAACTTCCTTTATGTTGTTCTTCTGGATATTCACTTCCAATTTTATTGCTTTAGTAGAGGCCCAGTGCATGAAAATTCATGCACTCGGGGGCGGGGCTCCCTCAGCCTGGTCTGCACCCTCTTGCA